CCCCACACACACACTCCACAACACCGGCCATGTTTGATAAATCCGGGGGCGTTATCTAAAGGCCCCCGCACAATGCAACACCCCTCGCGCTATCTTCCATGATCTACAATACCCTAATCTGCTGGTGTAACAGGTACCATGGCCGCCGGTGTATGGGGTAGTATGGCCACTTGTGGAGGGGGTACCCTGGCTGCCAGTATATGGTGGACCCTGGCCCCTAGTGTAAGGGGTCCACTACACCTGGCCTATAGGGTCCGTGCTAGCTTTTGGTGCCAGCGACGTTGCAGCACCAAAGTCACGGGGGCTGGGCCTGTTGCAGTGAGATAAAGTACTACGGGGCCTGTGACAAGCAATTCAGGGGCGCGCTAAACCAAGACAGTATAAGCAGTCGCCTTGCGCGACACAATTGCATAAAGTACTACAAAAAAGGTGACAAGCCAAAAAAGGTGCCACTGTTGGGGGCCAGGGGGCGCTACTAGGGGGGCGCTGTACAGGGACCCCTACTGTATTGGGAAAACAGCAGCGCGGGGCACTCCAGAGTCACCCACTGGGGCGATTCGAGGACTGAGGAGCTGCGCGAATTGATTGGGGTAAAGCACCAGAGATGTGCACGATTGGTCCAGTCAGCAACGGCATGCTGACTGTGCAGCCTCCACACCAGCCTCTTCACCCCAGTCACCAAGCGTTGTTCCGGCCACGGAGCAACAGCTGCAGCCCACAGCGCCGCGGAGAGATGGAGCGCCTGAAGATGAGCGTCCGCGGCGCCTCTAACCAGCACTTCCAGGTGATCATGGACCGCTGCCAGCAAGGAAGGGATCACGCCGAATTCGATACTGACGCAAAGCTAGTGACGACTGTGCCACAGGTCCGGTTCGGAAACGCGCCAATTGCACCTGCATGTGGCATCTTGTCCTGCCTCCGCATTTTGGCGCCGGCTCAAAGCATACAGTGCCCCTCGATCACGGCTGGAGGCATCCATTGATGATTGCGAGTTGTTTGCGTGCAGGCACCGTTCCGCTGGGCGATTCGGGGCCACAGGGTCAGTCGCGCAGGTAATGCCCATACCACAGCGGCGCTGCGGTCGCTCTGTTCTTGCTCATTCCAGCAAAAGAAACGCGAACAGCTGTTGGGCGTTGGTCTATGCTTGAACCCTGTGTAAGGCATGTGCTCCTCCAGACTCCACCTTGAAGCCCATCTGTCCAGCAGACAGCTACCCAGCTTTGGACGCAGCCCCGTGGCGCCCATGAATCTGCCACTTTGAGGCATTTTCTACAATTCGTGATCGAGATGGCTCATGACACAAGTTCGGGCAATGTTGGCGCAGGGCTAGCGGGACAACATCGGCGGGCGGTTGGAGGCGCCGTGAGGAGGACCAGACTGGCAAAGGCGCTTGCAGCGGCGAACACAGACACAACCCGCATCATCATTCAGGGACGGAGAATGGAGGTGAGCGAGAAGCGCTGGTTCTTCAGAAGCGCCCTCTGTGCAGCGCACCAGGTTGCTTTGTAAACTCCCTATGGCAGGTTCGATCAGATCCAACTAAGTTGAACTGGACATGGCGTGATGGCGACAATTCGCCTGGAACGTTGCTGCCACACTCTGGGCATTGCTTGGTTGGATTTATCGGACTGACTGAAGTAAATCTCGTCTGTACCGTTACTCTGCTGTGAACGATTCTCCTGCTGCTGGGAGTGCCTGAATCCGATTGGGCATGTTGGGGACAATGACGTGCTTCACGACTCTGGCCGCAGGTGACACCCGCGATCAAGACTTATGTCGAGAAGAAGGTCTACAAAGCTGTGGAACATTTCGAATCCCAGGTCAAAGAAGTGGATGTCAGTCTGTCAGTCAGAGGCGGGGACACTGGCACAAAAGGGAACAAGTGAGTGACTGACTGTGGCATCGAGCAGCCGAGCCCTTCGTCGCACCACCATTGCTGTGTGTGGCTTCCTGTACTGTGGGAGAGAAACAAGAATCTCTGCCTGGCAATGTTCTTATGTTGCTCCACAGTGATGCCCTTGTACTGCTGTGACACGCAGGGAACAGAAGTCCGAGGTGACTGTGCACACACTGCGGAATGGGACTGTGAGGGCTGAGGTAGTTGAGGACAACTTGTACGCAAGCGTGGACCTCGTCTGCGACAAGGTAGTGCCTTGGTCAGTGCAGTCTACCTGCAGGAAGCAGCCCGCGTTTGCTCAAGGTTCTGGGGCTGCAGAAGCCAACACTCTGTGTTCCGGGCCTTTGGAACCATGAAACCAGTCATTGGCATAGCACAAGATGAACAATGTTGGAGGATTAGCCATTGGCTCAGAACCCGTCCTGGTTTCTGGATAATTTGCCAGTTGGACAGTGTGGGAGCTTGCACCGGTGTTGCTGACTCCGATTGTCCTGGGTGTCAGGATGTGCATTTTCGTTGCTGTACTGCTCAACACTCCGGCGCATGCCTGGCCACTGGTACTTCTTGATCCAACAGAGGCATTGGATGTTTGCTTGCAGGTCCAGCGCATGCTGCGCAAGGTCAAAGAAAAGGCCATCCTCAAGGGAAAGTGGCCTGGTGGCGGTGGCCCGAAAGGGGGCCTAAAAGTGGGAGAGGTCTTGAACCCAGATGGTGAGCCTCCTCCACTGGACAAGTCCCCCAAAATGGGCCAAGACATTGTGAGGGTGAAGTATTTTCAACTGGAACCCATGAACGAACAGGAGGCCATTGAAGAGATGCTGAGACTCGACCACGATTTCCATGTGTATGAAGATAAGAAGACGAACAAGATCCAGGTCGTGTACAAGCGGCAAGAGCGTGGCTATGGCCTGCTGATACCCATGCAGGGCGAAGGAAAATCTGACTGAGTGGGACTAAGTCAGAGAGGGAAATCGAAATTGTAGAGAACATGCAGGAGCGGATTGTCCACCAGGGACATCGAGTGAAGTGAGGACCTGTTGTGAAGGAAAGGGCTTCCTGGCTGGGGGCCCTCACGACTGAGGGTTGTCAAGGCTAGGAAACATGACGACATAGAGGACAGCTCCGAGTGCTGCAAGAGTGATAGACATTAATATTGGGTGACAAGTGTTGCAGCAGAATTTTAACGACCACTGCTGTTGCCCAATGCCGCTGCACCAAAGGCAACCTCGCTCCAGACTTCGAGGTTTTCTGCTTGCGCACGATAATGGCTTGTCGGGTTGCTGCACAGCCAACTGATTGCGTCAGTGGTTGCTGTAAAGCCAAGCATGACTGCACAGTCCTTTCAGAACTTTAGTGGTAACGATGTTGCACCATTTGCGGTGCAAAAGCGGCACAGGAATTGCAGCCCAAGCGAATCCTGGTGAAACTCCCAAAGCAAGGAAGTTATTGGACCTTGCTCTGCTAAGTCCCAGATTCTCGTTGTCGATATGGCCTGTCAAGCCGGCTTCTTTGTGGTTCCTCATCCACTACTTGCCTTCTCCCTCTTGTGCGGGGGGGACGCTGGAAATACCAAGGTTGCTCGCTATGAAGCCCCAAGGCTGCAACAGGAAAGCCAAACGAGGATGCATCGTCATCTCGCACGTGCACAGGCTCATATTGAACAATCAAGGATGCACTCACAGAAAATTGTCGCAGGTGAGGCACATTGAGAGCGACTCTCAAGGCTCATTCTGAACGTGCCTTTGCACCCCTCGCTTCTGTTGCCAGGAAACGCGGGCACCGCACTAACACCAACGTGCAGACACATACACTCCGCTGAGCGCCGCTGGGGCTGCCAGCAAAACAGTATAGGACCAATGTGTAGCTCAGCAAACGGAGGGGCCAGCCGGGGATACTGAACGACGCCCACCATTCCGCGAGAGCAGCCGTCCGCTGTGGCTTGCGACGTTTGAAGATCGGCAGCGCGCAAAGATGCCGCGGCTTCCGCGACGGCAGCAAGCCTACCTGCACAGTGTAGAGGGCACCCACGCAAACGGCTCCCGCCCACATGGCCGCCGCTTGGAGCTGGACAGGTTTCGGCAGCAGGGGCCTCGGGTACACCAACTGCGAAGACAAGGGGCGTGCCTGGCTATCAGTCTCATCCAGCCGGGAGCACAGATGGCCAGTCGGCTTGGCCTCTGGGCGCTTCATACCTTGTCAAACTGCGACCACATGTCCCCAGCCATGGCCAAACTCCAAAGGCGTCAGTGGGTAGAGGGTGGGCTTCCAAGGCACCAAGGCAACTCTCAGCTCCTATGGGTCATCTTGGGGTTGGGTTTGGTTGAGAGCGAGTTTTAGAGTTAGGTTCAGAGCAGATTTAGTTATAGAGGTTTAGGTTGTAGGTTAGGTAAGTTTTGCGGAGAGAGAGTTGGTGCAGGCGGCCGCACCGATTTGGTGCGAAAGTCACCGATTCGTGTCCTGTAATTGTATGCCGGCCCCTCCTTACTCTGGGAGACGATGACGGGCGATTTGAGAGCCTCCCACGAGGTGTGTTCCCAAATGTGCATGAATCATCCATGGCATTCTGCAGAACACTGTTAAGCCTGTCCGCTATAAATCACCACTAACAAAGGGGGGGGGGCGCGCGGCGGGCTCTGGTCTACAATACCAAGTTCGCGGAGCTCTTGGACACAGGAAAAACCCGAAGTCTCCACCTCCGGGTCTTGATATCGCCCGGACGCTGCATTGTGTCCATGTCCTACGGTAGACCAGCACGCCCAGGACCACACCCACGGAACTTCAGGCCTCCGGTGTTTTGGCCTTCCAGGTTAGGATTCACATTCAACGGGTCGGACTCAACGTTGGGAAGTCGCTTTGGATCGCTCCGGTGGCAGGCAGGCGGCCTCGTTGGCGGTGGTGCAATGTTCCTCGCGTTCTGGATCTCTTCTTGCGCCACCGCTGTACCATACGGTAGTGTCCAGTACAGCTCCAAACCCATTCAGATGCAGTTCACCCTCCGCGCGACGCACCCGCAAAAACACCCACGCAACTCGTTGCCAAAGGCCTTCAACAGGTGCTGGTTTGCAACTCGCCCTGCTGGGCACCCAGCCACGGTGGACTCCGCTGCCTGGCCCGCAAGGTAACATAAGAGTTTGGGCGGAGTCGACCCCCGAGCTGGGCGCCTGACCATTGGCCGCATTCGACAATTCCCCAGGCGCGGCACGCCACGGGCGGCCGCTCTCCCTTAGCTTCCCTGTCCCATGCACGGCTTCAGGACATTCCGTTCCATGCGCAGGCCCAGGACAAAGGTCCCAGGCGCGGCCTTCGCTGGAGCGGCATTCGGGGCTAATGGCGGATTGGACAGAACACCCTGGCACCGGTGACCCTCCCCCCGATCAGACATGGGGCGGCATCAGGCGCTACCAGAGCGAAGACTTGAGCGAGTACGCGATGGCCCAGCCGGAGAGCGCCCACGCCGAGTCGCCGCAGCCCTGGCGCAGCATCCGGCGGTGCGCGAGCTCCAACGACGGGCCCCAGGGGCGCCGGCTGGAGAAGCGCATATCGCTGGTCCTTGAGAGGATACTGTCGGACGAAGGGCTGGGGCAGGGGCGCAAAAAGGGCGGCGGAAGTGCTGGCCCCGGGGCGCAGGGCCGGAGGGGCGACCAGCCGCGGGAGACGCCCGCCACGGCCTTCGCGGACTTCTTCCGAGGCAGCAAGACGGCGATGCCCGTGCCCCTGGTGCCCGTGCAAGAGAACGCCGATCCGACCGACCAAGGCGTGGACGGCAACGCGGAATCCGGGACTGACTCTGCGCCCAAGGGGAGCGAAGACGGGGAAAACGAGCAGGACGGGGCGGGGAGCCCAGATGGAGGTGGTGGGCAGGGGCACCTCTGGCAGCTGTGGAGCGTGCAGAGCCACCTGCAGAGCGCACTGTCGAGTCTGGTCGCCAGCAAGGAAAAGAAGCTGGCGGCCGTGAGGCGGGAGGCCGCCGAACAGCAGCACCCCCGGCCGTCGGGCTCGTCCCGCTGCCGCGTTGAGGTGCAGGCCCAACAGAAGCACCACGCTCAGGCAATGTCCACGGGAGCCGCTCACGCCGTGAGGACGAGGGAGATCAAGCCCGAAGAGGAGCAGGGGCCGTTGGAGGGGCATCGACGCTCTGAGGTCCCTGGGAGTGCCTGTGTGCCTTCTGACTCCGCGGTGACAAAGGGGCGCGCAGCCAACAGGGGCCCCAGCGCCCTCTCGCACAACCCACCAGAAACGGCTTCATGCCAGTTTAGGAGCGTACTGTTTGAGCCAGATGCTGAGGCCGCAGGTGCGCGCTGTCCTCACCCCGGAGCGAGGGACGCAGGGGAATGTGAGGAGCCTGAGGAAGCAGAGTGGCAGCCGGATTCCAGCTCGTCAGAGTCGGACGAATTCCCTGAGACTTATCATTGCAATCCCCAGCTGAAGCCCGCTATGGGCTACAGGGGGCTGGCAGATGAGGGCATGAGCCTCGATGACTCCATGGTGGGAGAGGAGGGCCACATGTCTGTGGGCGGTCAGCAGAAGAAGAAACCAGGAATCATGGTAATGACTTCACTGCCACAGGGCCAGTGGGATACCCAAGGGTGGGCGCCAAAGGAGGAGGAACTGACGCCAGTGGAAGAGAGGTCCGCGCTGACAATTCCGTCGATTGAAAGCGAAGAGCTCCTCAAAGTGAGTGAGATAGGAAGGGGCCAGACCGGCAGCGTGTTCCTCTGCCAGTGGAAGGGCGTGCCTGTTGCGATGAAGGAGTGGCATGAGCTCAGGGATGAGTTCAACGAACGAATGATGATGAAGGAAGCAGAGACACTTGCGGCTTTGAGGCACCCATGTGTAATATCATTGTATGGAACTGTTGGAGACAGTGCCAGCCCTGCACACGTTGTGGAGTTCATGAGGGGAAGGAGTTTGAAAGCCAAGCTTCAGGAGTTGTCTCGCACTGGATTGTCCCGGAAAGTGAAAGCATCCATTGCGCTTCAGGCGTGTCGGGGCATGGAATTTTTACATAGCAGGTAAAGAGGACGGTCGGTTGTAGCCTGAATGTGTATGTGGCAATTGGTGCAGGTGTGGTGTTCGTGAGAGGCCTACTGAGATGTTCTAGGTATGTTACTGTTTCTTCCTGTCAAATAGATCTTGAGTTCAGCACTGTTTAGCACTAACCTCAAATCTCAAACTGCACCCATGCCTTTGGTCCTTGTTTCACACACCCCTGCTTGCAGAGCCCGGGGTCACGTGCCAGCTGAATGGCATGTGTAAGACGTGTCTTGTGCTTCGATAGCTTACTATGTCTCCGTCATCTTCCAATCAGCATCATTCAGTTTTGGCCTCTTCATGCCATTTGTTTGCCATTTGTTGCAATCGCAAGCTGGCATCCAGAACCAAGGGTGAGGTCAAAGAAATATTACCGAATCCTCCTTTCCCATAGCCACCTGACACTGTGCCCGAGAGTGTCACAAAAAAAGCCAGCAGCGTACAGGCTGGTGCTGTGATAGCTCCTCATGGGTGGTGTGGACGATGGGCTTGGCAGTTCTGACTCGAATGTGCCTGTGCCTAGGTCCATTATCCACTTCGACCTGAAGTGTGACAACCTGCTGTGCGACTTACGCGACCCACAAATGCCCGACGTCAAGATCGGCGACATGGGCCTGTCGAAAAGGAAGCTGGAATCGTTCGTCAGTGGCAACATGAGAGGCACCCTCCCCTGGATGGCCCCTGAGCTGCTGCCTACGCTTGACGGGGCTCCCTCTGGCAAGGTGAACGAGAAAATCGACGTCTACTCCTTTGGAGTCTGCCTGTGGGAGATATGGACGAACGGATCAGAGCCGTATCCAAACCTGGAGTCCTCTCAGCTGATGTATGGGCTAATGTCGAACACCCTGCATCTGGACATGAGCTGTCAGCCTGATCCAGATTGGGTGGATCTCATCAATTGGTGCATGGCCCGGGATCCTGCAGAGCGACCTAGTTTCACAGACATCGCATGGAAGCTGGAGGACATGCTGCAGAAATGGAGTCAGCCAGAGGAGCGGTGCGAGCCTTGCATTGTGTCAGCAGCAACGTGGGCCTCGTCGAATTGGGACAACGATCTCCCAATGGTGTAGGCACAGGTGGGCGGGGCCTAACAAGTGCAAGCCCCGCCCACAATTGGCTCAAGTGCAAGGGTCCTGATTGCGGTGCAGGTGGTTTGGGCGGGGCCTTTTGATGGCAAACCCCACCCGTGTTTGTATCAGTGCAAGTGTGCTGCTATGAGCGCAGGTGGGCTGCTCGTGCTGGGGCGTTGGGTCTCTGTGGCAGCCACCTCGAGTTGCGTACGACTCGTGCTGCGAACTGGCAGTTAGTGTTGAGCCAACTGAAACTGCGGAAGTCAGAATCATCAGTTGAGTAGCAGAGTTGCTTAGACTGCAGGGCAGGGCGTT